ATTTTATATTCTTCTCCAGTGTGGGATTAAAGGTGTGCACCACACTACTACCCAGTTTCTATGCAGACTAGTGTGGTTACTGGGATTGAAGGTGTGTGTCACCACTGCCTGGTCTGTAAGGCTGACCACAGCAGCTGCTTTAATTTCTGATCTTCAGGAAAGCTTTATTTATTATAATACAAATGAAATATTAGCACACATGCCCTTTCCCCTTCGTGGCTGTGCACCAGTCCTCACCCATTTGGGATATTGTCCTCTTTCATGCTGTTTGTTTTACGTTCCTCTGCAGGACTAAATTGCGACCTCCTGAAAACACTCCTTATTGGGTCCTTTCCCCTCCCAGGCTCCCTAGGCCCATGGGTTTTAGTCCAAGTCACGCACATAAATCATCTAAATTGAAACACGCAGGACACCAGCAGCTGACATCTGTGATCCCAATCAGTGGCTCAGTGAGCAGTTTTCAGCTCTCCAACTGACTCAGCTGGGCAGCCAAAGCTGCAAACTCCAGGTCTTGATGAGTCCTTGACACGTCCCCAAACTTCTCCGCTCTCCTCCAGCTAATCACAAAAGCAAAGTAAGGTGGATGCATAAAAGAGAAACATAAGTAGAAACACATGGAGAAATTAAAATACGGTACCACTTTGGAAACCAAGTATAGACTGTCACAGCCCCTGTTCCACTACCACCTCAAAGCTGGAAGTTTGGTCTCAGCTCCTGCTAGACCAAAAGTAGTTAGGGCCAAGTTTCCTATCCCCTCTTCCTCTTTTTTTTTCTGCTCCAACGAACACACAGCCTGTAGACCACCCTCTCCCCTCCCCTCCTTTCTGAAAATCTCTTATAATCTCTAATACAAGATATGATGTGAATAATGAACCTTTCCCCTCCTGCCCCATTACCCAAACCAAGCTTGTTAGCTTAGAACCATGCCGCTGAAGCAAATTCTGATATTCTAACACAGTGTGTGCTAGGTAGCCATCGGGGTTTATTTTGGGGTTAAGCTCATTAAACCTCTCAGGGTCTGGAAAGATTTGCTAGGGCTGGCAAAAACCTGGCTGATTGGATCTGCGGGTAAAATTAAATAAATCCACTCACGTGTGTTATCCCTGCATGTTCTTTATTCCTCTGGCCGAAGAAGCAGAGAGAAGAAGCATGAGGGGCAATCTCTATCTAATCTTTAGCTTTTACAGGCATACTTGCGAAATTCCATAGGCAAAACAATGCTACCATGTGCATTCAGAATTACAAAAAGGGCAGGTACAACCTGACAAAACAGCACTCAGAACAGGTGACACCACCCACCCAGGAAAGAGCCAGTATCCGAGGGGTTATACCTGACACTCCAAGTCATTAGATAGAGTTACTAAACTCCCCTGTACCTGGACGTCACCTACATCCAGACCTGTCTATCTGGTAGGGTCTTCCTATCCCTTTGAAATTCCTGCATGGTCTGTTAGCAAAGGTAACTTTGTAGGATTGACTCTATGTACATTTGACTGTTAGAACAAAAAGTGAATATTATTGCTCTAAGGCCTCATGGTGTGGGGGAATGGAAAGGTCATTCCCTGACTCCTACTGGAGAAGTTACACTACTGCGGTGTTTTAGTAATGAATCCCATTTTGACGGGAGACTCGTGGCTTCACAAGGGTTTTACAGATTTGACAGCGAAAAGCAAGCGTTCCCGCAGTGCTGCAAAGCGGTTTGCTCCACGTGGATGTGTGCCTACATACTTCCTGAGGCTTAGTCTACTGCTCCGTCAACTGTACATTCACTGTTTGGTGCTTGTGGACTCCACCAGGTAGCAGATGTAAATCTTTAATATATTAAAGTGCTATATTTTCCAAGACGGAAACTCCTCTCAAACAGATGTGCTCCTAGGTCCTTTGTCACCCAGCCTTTGGGAGAGACTCTCTGCCCACCTCTCCAGTCTCATTACTCCCCATCCTCCTCCCTCCCTTGATGGCACACAGACAGAATCTTTAGTCCTGGGGGCACAGCTTCCTCTCTGAATACTCCAGCTTCTTCCAGTTCAGGGGCCTCTGTATTTGGTAGATTCCTTTCAGGAGACACTCACTTGGCTACACAGGCCTTTGCTTTCATCTCTAATAACACTCTGACCTAGGGACAGTCCCTGAGAATAGGCTAAAGCTGTTCCCTCTCATATAGAGACTCACTCAGCAGACAGTTCTAGCAGCCATAGCTACAGGGTGTGATTGGTTCACAGTGGGGAGAGTAGATTCTGCTAAGGTCTCTGTTTATCCCTCATGCCAGTATCCTAGTCCCAAGGGGCATGATTGGGAAGCCAAGTGCCATCATGACATCCCCCTCTCGGAATCAATCAGCAGATTAATGGACCAGAACTGATGTCCCTTTAAATCTATTCTCAGGAACTAGACTTCAGAAAGGGACCCTAGCCCCAGCCCTGAGAAGGACAAGTAGCACCTGCTTAAATTGTGGTAATTTTTAGCCAAATTTAGAATGTCCTATGAGCCTGCCCATAGTGAAGAGATGTCTGCACCAAATGAACTAGCAATCTTGAAAAGAAAATGGCTAGACAGTTTTCAAAGTGAAGAAAAAAATAGTTTTTATTAGTGAAAGTATACACAGTTAAAATCAGCAGCTACTCAGTATCCTGTCTTCAATACCCTCAAAATTATACACACAGTTCTCAGAAGGACTAATTTGGTTGCTTCATAGGATCTACACTGCCAGGCCATGGTAGTACATGCCTTTAATTCCAGCACTTGGGAAGCAGAAACAGGCAGATCTCTGTGAGTTCAAGGTCAGCCTGGTCTACAGAGTGAGTTCCAGGACAGGTTCCAAAGATATACAGAGAAACCTTTCTCAAAAAATCAAAACAAAACATACAAATAAACAAAAAAAGATGTGCAAAGTTTCATAAAATTTAAATGTATAGTATAGATGGACGTGCCATACACTTTTCATCCCAGCTCTTGGGATGCAGAGGCAAAAAGATCTCTGAGACATTGAGGCCAACCTAATCTACACAGTGAGACCATTTCTAAAAAAATAAAAGGCAATGTTTGTTTGTTAAGTATTGTAATGAACTATTCCACAGCAGATTATAAGTTACACAAATGGTATCTTAAAAGTTCAAAATTAGAAAAAATTCAATAAAATCAACAAGATTGATTTATCTGTAGGAATATTAACAAAATTGATGTTGGATCTTACTATCATCTGAATTGATGATTTTTTTCTATTGTATAACAAAAAGACAAACAGCAACTATATCAAATATCAATTAGAAACATGATTCTTTTAAAGATGTATCAGTCAGTACACAAAATAGATTCCTGATTGTAATAATATGAAAATCATTGGCTCGGCTCTAACTCAACATCAGCTATGACTACAATATCTGCTAGGGTGGGCATGTGCACTCTGGAATGCTTTCCATTGCTCAAAGGCTTCTCAGTCACCTCTCATTGCAATGACCCCTGTCCAGCAGGGTAAGTGTGGACATGATAACAGAAAACAGATGGAGAAAACAGACATTGAAGTTACCTTATTGTTACTACTGACAGTAATTGGAGCCCATGGATATGATATGTCTTCCACTGAGTTCCACACACTTTCACAGAATGTCACTAGTCACCGTGTTCTTGAGTTCAAGCAAGTTTTGGAAATGCTAGGTGGGACAGCCAGACAGATTTCCAGACCTCTTCATGTCTATCATGCATCTCTAGAAGACTGAAGAACAGAGCAGGCATCACAATCAGAGCCCTGCAGCCACCAGGCAGGAATCAGGAAGGAGGCAGGAGAGCTCAGGGGCTGATGGTGCCCTCTGGTGGCCTCACAACTGTAGAAATGTCTTGACAAATCTTCCTAGAAAAAGCTACAAATCAAAACTCTCAGAGTAAAAGTCCAGTTTTGAGGTTTCATGTTTAAAGAGTTGCCTCAAATTTCAAAAAAAAAAAAAGAAAATTAAGAAATGAAAACATCACTGTATACCAAAGAAACCCTGTCTTGAAAAACCAAAAAGAAAAGAAAAAAATCAAAATAGTTTAAACACAATCATTTTTAGAACACAAAGAAAAGCCTCATTTGGCCAACTCAGAATGCAACTTCCTACTTTCTGACCTCTCCAAGAACCCCCAAGACACACAGACTCATTTCCTAGAACTCTCTCAACAGCGGTGCAATGTGGACTGAGATCCACCCCTGCTTTACTATGCACTGAGTGTCTCTAACTGGAGTCAGGGCTTAACTCAAACTGAAATAACAATTAATACCCTCTAGCAAATCTGCTCTTTTCAACAACCAAACTGGCAACGAATATACCAACACAAGAGCCGTTGTTAACTCCAGCAATACCCAATATTTCGTTGATGTTGATAAACTGATACACTATGAGAAATTCATTATGAAATAAATTTAAATATAAATATGACCTGGAGACAATTAGAAATTTAGAACTCTTCAAAGAAACCAGTGCTAGCCCCAACTCTGTCACACGTGAAACAGGACTTTTCTCAGACAGCCTGTGTCCTGCGCTCCCCCCCTTCCCCTTCATCTCTGCATTGCCTCCTTCCAGCTCCTGATTCAGAGCCCAGTGGTGAGAATTGGAGCACTGAGCACCGAGTCAGACTGAGGGGGAAACAGCACTGATGACCTCAATCTCTTGGTCAACTGTTTTCTTCCCTGATGTCTGCCTGGTCCATTCTCACCATGGAAAACTCTCCAGACATGAACACCCATCTTTATATAAGATCAACCAAATGGCATGTGTGTCATATTTCCAGAGCTATGAGAAAGCACAATCAATTCTAATGATACCATTAGACTCCCTTTAATTTATGAGTTAAATTAAAACCTGCATGTTCCCGTGATTTTACCCCTTAGGGAGGGGAGGTGAAGTGACATTTCAAATTACAATAAAATAGATGAAACATGATCATGAAAAACTTCTAAATTCAGGATGTCCCTCCCCTTACTTTTTAAAAAAACTTTCCATCTTATTCCTCTCTTAATGACTTTAATAATCAAGACAAGAATCTATTTCCTGTACTACCGGTGACTATGTTGATGAAAGGAACCAGAAAAACCTAAAATGTTCATGTTTGAGAGGACGTTCTGCAATGAGTGAGAGACTGAGGCAGTGTTGATACAAGAATTAGGATGATGTGAACCGTGAGTTTGAGTATTAACAGCGGAGGGTCACCCTCTCCACCACTGCTGGATGGACCGACACAGAACATAGCCCTGCAGCTGGAAAAGGCTGTTTGCGCTGTCAAATCCAGTTGCTGTCTCTGCAGTCTCAGGCAGACGGTGTCTAAGAGGGTTTTTGGGACTCTTTCTGTAGGGTAGGAGTGTCTTCAATTGTGTAGACATTGTCTTCAGCTCGAGACCGGATAACTGCTGTGTTTTGCAAAGTTCCGATCTTATTGGCACGGAATGCTACCAAGCTGCAGGGAAAGAGAGATGTTGAAGAAAAAATAAGAGGTTACCTTTCAGATTCAAGCAGAATTTTCATTTATGGCACATGCTCAGGACTCTAGGAGACCCATTACAAAAACTGTAACAGTAACCAGTACCATACAGGACCCTCCTATCCTATTAGGTCATAGAAAATTTTGTTTAATAAGCATTCAACTAACCAAAATACATGACTTTAAAAAAATCGGCTCATATTGGAATCCTTCAAGATACTAATGTAATAAAACACAAAACTGGGAGATGTAGACAGAGAGATATCTAGGCATCAAACAGAGATGCCTAATCATGATGTGCATTTTGGAACTGGGCTAGGATCTGGGTGACTTGTGTGTTTACTTTGAACTATGATGCTTTAGAAAGACTAAGGAGAGCCTGGTTGCCTGAATGCCATCCCTGGAGCCCACAGAAAAGGCAGAAGGAAAGAGCCAGTTCCACAGTGTTGTTCTCTGAGCTCCACAGGCACCACACATCCCCCCCACACACACACATACACATCATGCTCACAGTGTTTAAAAGGAAAGAGTTTTGAAACTTGCATGGCATCTAACCCTCTAACACTAAGCATGGAGTAGAAAACATGTCAAGTCACAAAGCAGCTGTAGCTGCTGGTCTGGGGCACAATTTCAAGGCTACTGTATGCCACACATGCGCAGACACTGCATGCACACAAACAGCAGAAACTGCACTGGAAGGAATTTGAGGAGAGCACTGCAGGTCTTTGCAGCTAGCCTATCCTGACAGCTGTGGGAGGGGCTTCACTTGGAGAACTCATTCTGTTAGTCAGGGTGGGCACAGTGGACTGATACTTGAGCTTCTAGAACTCATGGAGGAGCAAACCAGAGAAGAAAACGGACTAACTCAGGGGTGATGCTTTGACAGTGGGGTTTTGTCATTTGTGGTCATTTCTACCACTGAAATGTAGAACCAAAATGAGCATCTCCAGTTGGCCACATAGGAACGAACAGCTGTGCTGAGAATTACACAGGACAAGAGAGAGCAAGCTCCACTCTGCCTGGACAGTCACACATGAAGGGAAACAGTGTAGGGTCAGGACTCTCATGAGTCAGTATGACAGAACTGACAGAAAAAGTCACAAGAGAAAGTCCAGAATGTATGTGTTATGTAGTGGTTAGTTTGGTTTGGTGGCTCCCTTCCTTCCTTCCTTCCTTCCTTCCTTCCTTCCTTCCTTCCTTCCTTCCTTCCTTCCTTCCATCATTCATTCATTCATTCATTCATTCATTTGGTTTAGTCAGAGTCTCACCATGTTTCCCTGACTATCCTGTAACTCCCTACATAGACCCAACTGGCCTGGACACATAGAGACCACCTGCTGAGTTGGAATTAAAGGTGTGAGCCACCACACCTGGCATTATTTACTTATTTTAGTAATTGTTTTAGAACACTCTGTCTAAAAATAAATCTGGGCTAGTTTTACACTTACAGTCCTGAATTAACTTATTGTTGAAATAACAGGTGCATGCCACCTCATCCAACTTCTCCCCTCTTCTCTATGTGTTGTGTTTTCTCCAATATTTTCTTTTAAATTAAATGATTAAAAAGTAACTTTGGGTACTGAAGCGTTGATCAGCAGTTAAGGATACTCGTTGTACAAACAGGAGAACCAGAGTTCAGATGCTGCCCCAGGGGACAGGTAGAACATCTCCTGCATGCCTGTAACCCAGCACTGAGGGAGACAGAGGCAGGAGGATCACTGGGACGTTCTGGCTGTCGGCAAAGCAAACTGTGACCTGTAGGCCCAAGAGAGACTCTGCCTCAAAGGAGACAGTGAGGGATAGAGGAGGACACTCACTGCCCTCTCCTCTGGCTTCTATGTATGTGTTCTTGCACGCACTCATGCCTGTCCTCCCCATGTCCCAGCTCCTGCCCCCACCTCTCTCTACCCTTAACTTTCTCTCACATGCAAAAGTAAAAATTTAAATTAAGCCTTTTTTAAAAAATGCCTTATCAATAGAGGACCAAAAATATGGGCAAAAATAATGTTGCGTTCTTCCAAGTCTAAGGAATGGTTCCTTTCCATCTACAGAATCCATTAGTTCACTTTATGTTATTTAATTTACCAGTTAGCTCTATAAGCTTGGGCTCCTGAGGTTGAGGCCAGTGTAGTGTGACCTCAGACGCTCCTTCATATTTATGAATCTGTTTTTTAATCTGTAGGAGGACACTAAAATATTTCCTACCTTATAGATTTCTTACTGTGAAGGGAAGAAGTGACTGACAATTAATAAGAGCTAACTGTATCAGGCACTTCTAACGGGCTGACACTGGTCAAGACCCAGTTCATAGCTTGGCTTTTATACTTAAAAAGACCCAGGGGAGTCTATGGATGGCAGCCTGAAGGACATGGATTTTGACTCCAATACATAGCCCTGTGTCCAGCCAATCTTTAGCCAATTGTAGAAAATTAGATGGCTGTAGACTAGGGCAGGTCACACTGGAGAGAATAAAAGAACACCCCAAGTACAGTAAACAAGACAAGAACAGTGAAGCCTGGCAAGGCAGACACCAATGTGGTGAGTGGAGGGGCCTGCTAAGAAGTGTGGAGGCACCAGTCATACCGCAGTTTCATTACACCCCTGGCAGCCTCAGAAATGATCTTCAACTAAATCCTCTGCTCCCTCGGGGCATCCTCGAACAGTCTACCTCCTAACCCTGTCATCCCCAGCACACTTCCCTTAAAGCACCTAAAACGACCTTTCTACTAGCTTATATGCTTGGTGATATACTTCAGCAGTTCTTAATAGACTAGGTGCTCAATGGAAGAAAACACTGAAGGAAACAAGAGTGGATCAAACAATTCCTTCTGTACCACCTCCAGGAAGCAAAGCTTACAAGTCAGTGTCCTCCTATAAGAGATTAGGATCACGAGGCCTTGTGTTCCTGTCCTACCATAAATACATAAATACAGAATGCAGAAAGTATCTCTGAGAAATGAGGGTAACCAGAAAGAGACTCACTAAAATTTATTTGGGAATCCAATGTACAGAATGAGGGCTGGCCACTATGGAACACACCTATAATCCCAGTGTGATAGACTCAGAGGCAGGAGGATTGTGAGTTCCAGCCTGGCCTAGCTACATAGCAGGTTCCGGGCCAGTCTGGACTACATAGTGAACCCTGTCTCAAATCAACCAACCCAGCAATGAATCAATTACCAAGGAATGTTTTAGTAAGAAAAGAGAGCACAGAGAGGAATTCCCAAGACTGTTGGATCAAAGAGATTCAGCACAGTCCATGGCAGCTTACCTTAGAGACCCCGACTTCTTTTTCATAAGGATGCACCCTAAATTGGGGTGGGAGGTGGTAAGAAAATTGAAAGAAAGATTACACATGTCATCAGAGACACTCATGACACTTTCTCCTAATCAAGGATGTTGTCTCTATTTTTGATTGAATCATCCCCGGGTTACTTTGGGTAATTCCTTCCTGTCCCCCACAGGAAGACTTTTCTGTCCATTCATTGTCTGGTGTATTCATCCTCTTGGCCTAATGTACTAGAGTGAAGGTGGTAAACTTTGTTCACTGAGACAAACAAAAGTCTTGATTTTTTTCTAATAATCCTATAAGGGAAAAATAAACAACTTTGGACTAAGGAAGGAAAGACACTTGTTGTATTTTATGTAATTTTTTGTGTAATTCTCCCTTTTAGATATGGTCTGACATGAAGCCCAGGCCAGCCACAGACTTGTAGAATGCTGGTATTATAGGCACATGCCATTAGAGCCACCTTAAATAATCATTTTGGATAGTTTTTAAATAATTATAAGGAACCATCTGAAATCTGACAGGCATATCTTTATTCCCCATCTCCTGTGAAACAGGTTAGTAATGGGCTCATGCATGGAGTTTTGTAAAGCCCGTGCCTGAAGTTCATACACAGGGAATGGACTGTACAGAGAGAAACACTGTGTACAGTTGTACAGTTTATGGAAAGGACCACGTAGGCCTGGGTGCCACCTTCAAAGAGTCTGTCCCAGTATGTCAGGAGGCTTCCCGCTAACATCTCATTTGCTCCTTCTACTAAGTACATTCCAGAACATTCAAGAGCAGCATTATGGGATACAAGTGAGATTCCCAGAATAGGAAAGGAGAGAAAGCATCTAAGGTCTTATAACCACTAAAACATCTCAAACCTATTCAAAAATCTCTTGTGTCATATAGTATTTATGGTAGCGTTTTGATGGTAACAGCTGAAAGACAAAGGATAGGGCTATGAGCAAGCGTGTTGCCAAGCACTGCAGCCTATTCCTGCGAGCCAAGCACTGGGATGTTGGAGGCCAGAGGATCTGGAGTTGGGGGTCATGATCAGCTACCAGCTAAGGTCAATACCTGTATGGAGTACATGAGATCAAGTTTTACAGAATAGGAATCTGTTGAGACACAGTAGCAATGGTTCAAGGCCACTGAGCACTAACCATGTACCAGAAATCATCCACAGAGTTTTCTGGGTCCTAACACATCCCTTGGGGAGTAGATGATTTAACATGAGTGTCGTTGATCTGGGGATATGAAAGCCATGTGAACTCAAAGCCCCCATGGCATGTGCAGGTGCTTAAAGTCAGAGAGCCCTGTCCTTCCTTCCTCAGGGACAGCTGTGGCATGACTTACTGGTGATAACCGCGGTGCACACAAGCAGCAGCAACAGCAGGGCAGCGGTGGAGACCCCAATGTAGAAGCCCTTACTCATGTTCTTCTGCTGGTTCCATGAAGGGATCGATTCCTAAGAAAACATTAAATAAAATATTAGTAGCAATTAATAAACAACAGTAAACACAAGGGACACTAAGTGAGAGGAGCAGAAAGCACATGCTTGACCTTATCCTAGACTCTAGGTCCTAGAACTGCATCTTTACTGGCCTGGAATATTCAGGATCTGAGGTGGTGACGGGCAGTGGAACTCCGAGACTATGTGAAATCAGTGTCATTGGTGATGATGGAAACGTGGACTATGTTGCTCAAGGTGTTTACCTGGGTAGATGCTTCAGTCAAAATTCTAACCTCGTGTTTAATGTGAGTTCATACATCATGTGTGTGATTACGTCTGTTTAATGATCTGCAGGGTATTCTCTAAATGCATCATTTTAGGATACTAACAGAGTTAAAAAAGAATAGCTCATATCTAAGTTAACTTGCTCTCAGTGTGCTCAGCCCCTGATCTGGTATTTCACCACAGACCCTACTTGTTCGGTAAATGCAACTCAAGATTACACATTTAATACCAAATGGTCAGCATGGAAATATGTACACACTATTAGACAGACTGGGCAGGTTGTATTAATTATTTTAGGAATAAATATATGTAATAAATATGAACATACACAATATATAATACATAGCATGTACAGTTGATAGGTATATATATTAAAATTACATATATAACATTAATATATTACATATTATATAATTTTATATTTAATAAGCAGTAATATATAACATAAATATTACATATGTTTATATAGGCATATATATATAAACAAAGGATCAAAGATCATGAATTAGCAAGAAAGCAAGGAAGGGGTATGTAGAAGGCTTTGGAGGGTTTTGAGAACAAAAAGAAAGCAATATGATTATAGCCAATAACTTTCTAAAAATAGTGGGAAGACTCTGCCCCTGGATGCAGCCTGATTACTACTGTATGATCAGACAAAAATGCAGAATCTCCCTAGTGCCCTGGGGCAGGTGATCAGGGATCAGCACACATTGGAATAAGCAGAAGACAGCTGAGCAGCAGGTGAGGTCCCTCTAATAACTTGGCACTAATCTACTAGCCCTAAACAGAGCCCATGATGGTTTAACTGTAAGAAAAGGGAGATCAGAGACCAGGTCTTTGCCCATGTGTGAGCTGCATCTATGGGGTCGCAATCCAGGCTCCTCTGTTAAGTCAGGGAGACCATGGACAAGTTAGCCAAGCTCTGTGAGCGCTGTCTCTACATCCTCAAGCAACATGTTCAGTGGGTTCCTGGGAAGGGATTCTTAGTTATTCTTGACAAACACTGTGGGGAATATAGGAGAAAATAAGGCTTGTTTTTTGTTATGACAGGGTCTTCTGATCCCAGGCTGTCCTGACTCTCTTGTGCTTGACAATGACCTGGAACCTCTGCTCCTCCTTCCTAAATCTCCTTAGAGCTTGGACTTCCCGTGTGTCTACCGTGCCCGTGGAACATTTACTTTAGAACATGCTTCTGATTGTGAAAGACAGCAATGCTTATCCTTTCTTTGTGATCTTCACAGATTTTGTTCAGTTTTTTTCATGAAACAGAGTCCAGGAAGTTGATCTCCTGGTTCAAGATGTTTGCTGCTATTGACAGACCTAGGGGTACAAACCTTACTCCCAGGACCTAAGAGATGGTAGCAGGAAGGTCAGGAGTTCCAGATCCTTCCTGGGTACGTAGCAAGGTCAAGCCCAGCCTGAGCTCCAAGAAATTATGTCTCAAACAAACAAACAAATAAACAAACACCTTGAAAACAAAACTGTATGTTCTGTGTATTGTTTTCAATGCACCTAGGGACAGCTTGATGTCTTCAGAGTCCAGAGTCACTACGGCTTATTTTGAATTCAACACTAAGTTATTCCTCCGTGTTGCTAAGCATGACTGTTTCTCAGGTAACTGAGGGCAAGAACAACCTTGATATGCAGTGCTGTTTGGTTTTATATGGAGTCATATGTCTGCTCCCTTAGGAGCACGTACTTACTGGTGTCTGATATTTAACTAGTATATACAGATTCTTTCCACAACTACAAGACCACTGGGTGCTAATTTCAATTAAGTCCTTATATTTTTAGTGTCAAGCTGGGCACGTGACACAGGCCTGTAATCCCAGTACTCAGTAGGCTGAGACGGAAGATTGTGAGTTCTAGGCCAGCCTGAGCTATAAAATGAGACGATGTCTCAAAGAAGGGAGAAAGTTATGATGGGATTTACTCCTATAATTTCAGTTCTTGAGGGACAGAGGTAGCAGGATCAGGAGTTCAGGGCCATCCTCAGCTACGCAGTAAGTTCAAGAACAGCTGCACTATGTGAGACCCTTCTCAAAAAACAAACAAAAGAGACTAACTTTCGGCCTTTGTGTATTTGTTCTTACTGTCAACAGGTATAAACGCCTTAGACCATTTGGCCCAATAGAGATATCTCCACCTTGTCCTGAAGTGTCTTGTTGCTTGGTGGTTTTTGGCAGTTCAAACCTGGGGCCTGGCACATGCTAACAAGGGCTTTGCTACTTCCAACATCCAAATAATCCTCACAAACCCCTATCTGCCTTTTTTTTCCTCAAGTGCCAATTACATACACTAAAACAAACCTTGTTTCTTACTGAAGCCAAAAGACAAAAATCCTATTGAAAAATTCGGCTATTTGTAGAGCTAGAACTCTGGCAAGAATCTTGGAGGCAGCCAAGCACTAGGGAGGCAGAGGAGGTCGACCTCTGTGAGTTCAAGGTCAGCCTGGTCTACTAAAGCTAGTTCCAGGACAGACTCCAAAGCTACTCAAAAAACCAATATATATTCTGGAGGCAGTGTGCCTTAGATTTTTCTCTCAAGCTTAGTATACAGAAACTCTAGAAAAAAATCATGCAAAATTAAGATTGTCTAAGACATAATACTTTCTGTGGAGGTTTGTATGTGGAAAACAATATCACCAGTGGGCTCTAGAGAATGGTCAGTGGTTAGAAAAACAGTATCAGGGCACCAAAAATGAACATCTTAAATTCAAATATCCTTTGTAAGCATCAGATTCTTTTTTCTAATTTTTTTATTTTTATACATTCATGAGTTCATTTTTCTACAGTTTTTGAGACACCATCTCACTATTTAGCCCAAGCAGCCTAATAATCTAGATTGACCTCAAACTTCTGATATCTTGTTTTAACTTTCTTAGTCCCAAGAATAAGAAATATACCAGTATACCTAACGCTTGTCTTTTCTTTGTTTTTTTTTTAAATGCAACTATCTGTGAACTAATTTTACAGACAAAATCTGTAAATACAAATTGTTTCCCAGAAGATATACAAGTGAACATGGCTAATAAATTAGGGAGAAATATGCTTACAGTGTAATTATTTCGAGAGTCATCTGAGGATGTCACAGTGTTATTCCAATCTGCTAAACAAAAGATAAAATTAATTATAATTACAAGAATTTATTTTTTTACTACATCTATAAATAATACTCACAAGACCAATGTGTCTTATACTACATGAGGGCTGGGTTTTAATATGGCAGGAGATTCACTGAACAGCAAATTTTGAACATTTAAATATTTGAAGTATATCCCGTAATATCTATTTTATAACAAGGAATCTATTCTTTGCATTGTTTCTATGTGTCTATGACTGAAACACAGAATCCCCTTGCTGCTGATATCAGACATGTACAAGGGTTGTGATGTCATGACAAGGAGACCCTTCACTGTATTTTACAGATGATTACATATTTCTAATTTTAGCAAATAACAGACATATTTGCTGTCAGTGTACACACAGTGCCCACACAAGGAGTGGAATTACTATGGATCTATGGGAGTCCCCAACAACTACCAAAGCTGACGCCCAGCACAAATGAAATTGAATTACTCATAGCCCTCCTCACACTCACTTTACTGTGTTTACATTTCACTCTCTGTGAGAGCTCTGACAAGAAGTCAAAGACAATGACTAGGTGTAGGTAGCATCTACAGTCTGGGCTCTGTTTGTGACCTAGAATCTTAAGTAAGACCTTCCAGGAACAAGGGGAAGTGATTCGGTAAGGTGAGGCTGAATCAGAGAAAACTTGAACTCGATTCTGACCATATTCATTAGCAAAGTGACCTCATAATCAAGGTGCTGCAATAAGCACTTAGAAATGCATGCATGGGCACTCAACACTGTAGGAAACATGGGTGATGCTATTATTGTTAGGTGATGAAAGGAGCAGGGAGCAGGAGCGTGAACACTGTGGAGTTCACTTTAGAAATATTGTACCACTTATGTAATGAGAACCATTCAAAAACTTCTCCAAAGAAGTGTGCCTAGAATAGGGGACAAATGGAAAGGTGTGTGTCTCTAAAGGCAACTAAAGAGTTTCCTCAATCTAGCAGTGACATAAATAACCATGAAATAATGAAACGGAACGGTGCATAAGATTCCTGGCAGGCACAGCAATCAAAACAGGTGGTGGCCCCTGTGACACCCAAGTTCCTTGAAGTATGAACTACATGGCCTCACTCAAAAGTTCAAGCATGTTAAATCATTTTCTAAAGCCTTTGAATTTGATATGTGTGTGTGTGTATGTGTGTGTGCATGCTTTCATCCCTATTAAGGACTCATATTCCACTTTCCATTTTACTTGAAACTGAGAAATCCTGAAAGCAAAACTTTGCAAGGCATCTGTTGTTCTTTAAAAGGGTGGTGCACAATGCCTGTCCAGTGAGCATGCAGAAACAGCACAAAACCTCCAAACATCTCAGCTCAGGGCTTGGGAGTCAAAAGAACCCGCTTCCAACTCAAGTGAACAGGACAGAGTCTGAGCCACTTTGTGTCATCATGACTTCCATCACAAACTGTCAGTTCCTGTCACTATGAAAGAGGGACAGATCACAGCTATAAAGACATAACTATCGGAGATTTCAACACTGCATCATGGAGCATGGAACATGCTTTCTGGGGATCAGGAAGTGCTAAATATCATCGTCCCTGAACTATGGCCTCAGTTGGATGGCCCAGTTTCAGGATGGATGTAAAGGGTCAAGAGTCTTCCTACCCTGACCCTCGTTCTCAGTCAGTCCTTAGATTTTCAGCACACAGTCATGTCCAGCTGACCCAGATTCCCACCATCCTCATCACCTCTCCTAGATCCACCTCAGTCTGGCTAGAGTGAATCCCAGGGAACAGAGAGACGGTGTCCTCCATCTTCACTGCAGAGAGTGAATGTAACTTAAGACTTAGTGAGGCTGTTGTTGGGACACAGCTAAGAACTCTTCACCTCTATTATACTCCTGTCTTGACTTCTATGTCTGTGTGTCCTACAGACACTTATAAAAGGCACTCTGGGTCCTGAACCACGTTGGGATTTACCTGGTGTATGAGTCTGCGTGTGCGCTGGTGTTGTAGGAGTAGAGGTGGAGACTCTGGGTGATGCTGGTACACGTGTGGGTCCTGTTGACAGAGTTGTGGGTCTTTGTGTAGTTGTGGGTCTTCCTGTAGTTGTGGGCCTTTGTGTAGTTATGAGTCTTGTTATAGTTGTGGGTCTCCTCATTGTGGGTCTTGTTGGAGGACTTGCAGGAATTTCTGGATTTGAAAATCAAAATAAAGCAAGGATCAGTCTAGCAAGAAAAGACAATAACTTGTAGCACCAGTAAGAGGCTGTCCCCAAAAAGGTTGTTCTACTGAACTTCTGTCTGTTCTTTGTCATCGACCAACCAGAATGGGGCAGGGCAGTGGAGACAGCTCCCCAATAGGAGGCACCTGCACTGGCAGCACAGAGATGAGAACAGAGCCCGTTCCTAAGGACACTTTATAAATGACAGATGTCAGGTCCTCTGATCTCTCGGCCTCTCTGTGACACTGAGAGGGCATAGGGGCCTGGGACTTCACTCAGTGATAACTGACTTCACCCAGTTTCCAGGCCGAGCATGTTCCCTTCAGTCAGTCGCAAGAGGACATATCATACAGCCCAGCATCTTAGCACACACATCCCACACGAATCCCAACACAAATGGGATTTGCATATTTAGGGAGAGAGTAGACATTGTCTTCTATGGTTTCTTCCAATCTGAGAGAGACAAGGTAAATACACCTTATTAAAAAAAATTGTTTGGTACCTGGAGTTAAAGTATTTAAATCTTCCTTAACAATTCAGAATAATTGCATATAGATATTATAGGTGAGCCTCAGGTATAAACGTGGATTGATATAGCATTCATACGACTACACTTTACATGTATAGTTTAAAGGAAAGTTTACAAAATGCTGCCCATCATAGTTTGATGGCGTTGAATTTTCCACAAGTATTATCAAGTTTGTGTTCCTGATTATAAATCGCTGTAGACTTGGGATGTTTGGATTAGTGAGGTTCAACCTACAATTCACAAATCAACAGCATCCAAAGGGCTGTAAGGATCCAAACAGCTACTGATGGCCTCAGTGTGCAGAGGTCTAAGACAGGGACTAAGGTAAGTAGAGCTGGAATCATCAGCCAGGCACTCAGTCTTGAGTGTGTCAGCAAACATATGTTCCAGGTAAATAATCTCCCTCGGTCTTAACTGTGCTAACTACAAAATAAAACCTCGACAATGAGAAATAATTGCTTTGAAAACTCTTTTTTATGTGGGATACAGAGTAATTCCTTAATCTGAAATGAAGAAAAACCTGTAGTGTTCTTGCAATGTGTAGGGAGGTGGATGCGGAGCATCCCCCTTAAATTCAATACATGTATTCATTCATTTAATTGTGTGCTTGTGAGATGTCACAAACGTGGATTTCAGGGGATAACTTTGCAGAGTCTGTTCTCTCCTTCCACCACGTGGGCCCAGGGATTGAACTCGGGTCATCAAATTTAGCACTAGTCACCTTTCCCCATTGAGCCAGCTCACTGACCCTCAGGCCACTTTTATGTAGAGGGTCGGATGTAAGAGTTTTTGTCTCCGGAACATAAAAACATATGTTCAGCAGCAAGCCTTCCTGTCAATCATTTTGAAAGTCATTGCTGACAACCTAGTAAGGAATGGGTGTGGCCTACTTCAATAAAATTATTCACAGTAGTGAGTGCGTCTGTTTATAACCTGATCTGGTTCTAGGCTATTCTCTGGGCAGAGGCTTGAGCACAATAAAATCCCTCCCTGGAGAGTAGAAATCTCTGAGGTGGAGAGGCAAGCATGGGAACAATGTGAGACCAACCAGGAAATAGCAGCTCAGAGGCTTTGCTTTTCTTGTTCTAGGGCATTTTTCACCCAGGTAGATGGGAAAGTGTAAAGGAGTTAATGAGGGTCCCGGAAGAACTGAAGAAGAAGCTCCAGATGTTTAAATCATGAGAAAACATAAAGACTTGGTTGTTAAAGAATAAAACAGAGTTGCTGTTTTATTATTATCTTGAGTGGTCAATCAAAGAGTGGCCTTTGTAAGCACTGACCTGTTAACAAACTTCTAAGTTCAATAAAGCCTTCAATTAATGAACCGAATTTAGTAACTTTATGTTATGATGGGATGCCGATTCCCCTTCTAGTGCTGGGGATATAATCCCAGGGTTTTGGGAGGAAGGTGTACTAGAGAGGTACCTTCCCAAGCTACAACCAAGGCCTGTATTTTTTTATTGTTTGGAGTTCTAGGGACAGAACTTCAGGACTGCTAAACAAATTTCTACACATCTTCTAAGGCAGTTTTTTAAAAGGAGAGATGTGTGTGTGTGTATATGTGTGTGTGTGTGTGTATGTGAAGGTGGGTTTATTCTCATATGAATGGGTGCCCTCGGAGGCCAAAATTATTCAACTTCAGCCATATAAATTATGTAATTTCACAACTGTGATAGGCACTCAGAACTTTGTCTCTCACCCAAAACTGTCTGTATACATCACTCTTTGCACACCCTGTGACCAGCTTCTTCTGGACTCCCTAAGCTGCCTCCCAGACATACTTTTCAAGGCAGCTCCTTACTCCATCAGGATGGACCGCACCCTAACGAGATATGGCGGCACATTTCCATAATCTCAGCACTGGGGAGACTAAGGTATATGCAAGAACTTCCAGGTCAGCCTGATTTTACAAAGCAAGGCACAATCTCAATATCAATCAACAAGTAGAGAGACAGAATAATGGTTCAATGGATAGAGGCACTTGACTTGCAAGCTTAGACAACTGGACTTACATCCCTGGAACGCACATAAGGGTATAAAAGCAGTACAAACCCCACAAGTTTACCCTCTGACAAATCCATCATGGCATGCAAACCTACCACACATGTGCATCATTTATACATATAATAATAAATGCAGTTTTAAAAATTCAATTAAGCATAAAAGTAAATGAATGAATGAATGAATGAATAACAAAGACTATAAGTTGGGAGACTGCAGAGAAATGCTCTTAATTTAAAAATACAGAGACAGGCTAGGATTGTTTTCTATTATCTGTGTGAGCCCTTGGTAAAAGAAGATTTGAAACTTCACCAGAGGCCAGGAAGTCCTCGTAAGCCTACTCTTTAGTCAATGTAAGAAAATCAGGCTATGGGGGCTGGAGAGATGGCTCAGTGGTTAAGAGCATTGCCTGCTCTTCCAAAGGTCCTGAGTTCAAGTCCCAGCAACCACATGGTGGCTCACAACCATCTGTAATGAGGTCTGGTGCCCTCTTCCGGCCTGCAAGCATACATGTAGACAGAATATTGTATACATAATAAATAAATAAATAAATAAATAAATAAATAAATAAATAAATATTTTTAAAAAAAGAAAAGAAAATCAGGCTATGGACATGAAGAAGGAAGATGTAAAAAGATACACACCTTTTATCTAAGAACAAGGGAGTCTGAAGCAGAGACAGAGGCAGGGGGATCTCTGTTAGTTCAAGGGCAGCCTGGTCTACAGCACAAGTTTCAGGATAACTAAAATTGCACAGAGAAACCCTATCTGGAAAAACAAAATAGGAAGAAAGGAAGGGAGG